TGGTGTAACAAGAACAGAAACAAGCTATAGATTTTAAGATAGCCATGATGGTCATATACCTTTTTTTCCCTTTAGGAATGTCTATAGTAAGTTTGTCAGGTGGCATTACTGAATGCTATGTGATACCCTTCCCCTGTGCCATCCCTCACACCCCACCTACTGGATCTTAAGGTACTGTTGACCAATTTCTACACTTGAATTAATAACAACTTGGTTCGGGTTTGGTTTTGGCTAAGCAATCTTATGCTATAGGATTCTTGTCAAGGTTGGTTTTGGCTAATGTGCATGTTTTTTACATTTAAAAAAAAAAAAAAGAATTAAATCCTGATTTGTTGCTTTGAAATTAAATAATCCAGGTTTGCTTCCACTCAAGACTGCTGCCAAAGGAAACTGAACTCTCCGTGTCCCAGAGGGTGCTTTCATTCTCTACCAATTGTCATTGCAGGAAAAATGAATGGGGTTATGCCAGAACAATCTGGCAGAGTTTTCCTTCTTTATAGAAAGAGGCCTGGGAGTCTGTCTTATCACTTAAGAACATCTTTTGTACTCTAAAGAAAAAGTCGGAGTGTCTGTCTAAAGCATGTCACCTGGAGAGTCCACTAACAACAAGAGTCTGTTTCCTATACGTGAGTTGGTTGGAAAAGTGAGGGGGAAGAACACCACTAACAAGCTTCTTATTTTTGAGCACTTTTTCACCCCAATAAAATACAATATCTTTAAGATGTGCTTTATATTGCAATGCTCATTAGTAAAGCCCTGAATCTTGCTTCTAAATACAAATCAAAGGCTTTAGTAACCAAAGCAGATGCATTGCTTTACTGCTAATATCAGAAAAATCAAATAAAAGTTGCCATAATTTAATTGGGATATTGCATATTTTATACTAAAGGTGACTCGGAAGACTACATTTAAAGTAAGCTATAGTTAATATAGATAAGGTGCTTTTAGGGGAGAGAGGTGGGTAAGGAAAGGGAGGAAGAGGAAATGCAGTTTTAAACTATTAAACTAGCTACAAGAGTTGTCTGCTTCAGCGAAATATTCAAACCGTGTATGCTCTTCAATGCTCAGGAGATTTTGGTGGGTTTAGGTAATAAAGGGAGGGACTCTTGTGCAATTATTTATTGCCAAATCACCTTAGAACTAGACTTTTTATTGAGTGTGAGGACTGATTAAATGATTGATGACAAAGGAAATCAGAGTTAGAATAGTCAGCTTGGGGTAGGATTTTTTCATGGTCACAATGCAAAAATACATTTTGAATCTTAAGTAAAAACTTACAAATAAGAATTCTTAGCAATTTTGGCAATATGATAGTTTTGCTCAGTGGTTTTTACATAGTCTTCAAATCAGTTGTCCTGCAGGGTAAGGTTTCCTTTTTTTTTTTACCTTCAGTGTTAATTTCCAGTTTATTAACATGTAAGATGGTACTTTTTAATGAACATTGCTTTTGGAAAAGTTCTCAAAAGTTTGAGATGACAAAGGAAGAGAAACACACCAGCTTTTATGTTGCACATTCCCTCACTAGATTGAGATTTTGAAAGACTGCATTGCAGAAATACTACCTTGCCAAACACATATGGTGCAATGCTTCCAGTGTTTGCAAGGCCATGCTTTGGCGCAGGCATTGGTGACCATCTTGAGGAGCACAGGAAATAAAGGGATCTACAAGATGCTGGAAAACCTTTGGCATTGACAGAACCCATGTAACTTTGTATAAGGAGTGAGATATAATCCAACAAGGTCCTGAACAGGGGCTCAAAACCACGTGGGGCTTTTGGCTCCGCAATGCCCATTCCGACGTTGCCCGATCTGTACAATCTGTGCTTATTAGCTCAAGCTCTGTGGGAAAACAACACGGTAATTTCAGACTTGTGCAGCAGCCCTGCCAGAGCCTCACCACCTTTGTGTGGAGCGTGGTTTGGCTGCAGGCATGCAGCACCAGTGGCTGCCAGGAAATCCCCTTCAGCTCCTGCAGTCCAGGCTGGCTATACACTTCTCATGGAAATGGTGCATTTAGGAGTGAAGAAATGATGCATGCTCAGTGCTTATATTAATTGTAGTTGAGTGGAGCTGGTGTGCTATTAAGCACTGATGATTGTTCAAGCTCTTTTAAGTATATTGGTGTAAGTTTCCCATGTTATTACATGCATTTTGTTGAGAAACTGTAAGAATTTAATAAGCAGTGCAGTGCCCTTTCAGTCATGGCTGCATGATTCAGCTAAGGAAAGAAAAGGGTTTTCTGTCACTGAAATGTAAGTTTTAGAAAATAAACATACCTAACAGCCTACATTTAGAAAATAAATATGGTCGTAAACCTTCCTTGGTAGAAAATGTTATTGTATCCAATATTTGTAGAACTCTCTATGAAAAGAATATGATGTCACCTGGAGAGTCCACTAACAACAAGAGTTTGTTGCCTGACTGGTCCCTAGGAGCACACAAATCCAAAGGTTTTATTTTTGCCAAGTAAAACAATCTTGTTTGCTACTTTTGACACCAACAGTTAGCAGTCATACCTGCTGTATGTAGGCTTTTTCTGATCTAGGAGTCTGGTGACTTACCTTGCTAGTGCAAAGGAATATTGAGCTGTTTTGGTTGGTAGCCTTACATAGGTAAGTTATCTGTGACAGTTGATTTAAAATTCACTTTGAGGAAGGAATTTGCATGTTGGAACTTTTATTTTGTTAATAACTTTGACTTGAAAGCTGCTGTGGTCCATGTAGCTTGCTAAAATGAGGACTTGATCAAATTACTTGACAAAAATTATTTGATCTAAAATGTTACACACTTGATACATAAGAAAAGTGATTTGCCATTAAGCAGAAAAAATAAAAGTGTCCCTGCCCATAGCAGGGTATTTGGAACTAGATGATCTTTAAGGTCCCTTCCAACCCAAACCATTCTATGAAAACAGCCAGAAATAAGTGAGAACTTGGAAGCTGTTTTCTTTTTAAACGTGGCCACTTTTGAAACTTGTTTCATGGAGTTCTATTCTCAAATCTAAAATTTGATGGTATTCATAATTTCTCCTACGTAGGGGCAAGCACTGTATTTTTATATGAACTGAAAGGCAGTCCTTAAAAGTCTGTGAAATGCTGCAGTAGTTCTCAGAAAACTGTTCAGTAATGATGGCTAACATAAACTGATGTCAGCCAGCAGCACATACATGCTTTATTTAGACTGGAGCTTTAGCCTTTGCAGGCATGAATATTAAATAATGAGACGAGAGGGTTATTTTCTGATGTTCAGGCCTCCCACTTGAGAAAAATGCAGATTCTTCATTTGTGTTTGGTCTCGTGGCTGATCTGGCTTGGAACAGGAAAAAGGAGCAGGGAAAAAAATCCAAATTATAGCTTTGATGATTGTTTCATTCATCATGGACTCTAATAGCATAGATGTCTCATCTCATACCACTGTGAGGAGCTAACTGCATCATTTCTGTGCATTTGTAACTTCAGTAAATGTCAGCATCTCCTGTGAAACTCATTGCAGCCACAGTCACTGAAATAAGTTGCTCCCAGTCAGTTTTCCTTCCTGTGTGTACCACCAGTAACACTTAATTTCCATGTACTGCAGAAACTGATGGCAAATAGCTTCTTGGTACGTTAAACTGATCTCCTAAAATCTTCTTACCTGTTCTAAGAAGGTTGCTTACAGAGCAGAAATAAGATGTGCTCTCAAGCAGACATCTCAGGAGAAGCTAATTTTGTGCAGTACAAGTATTATCTTTTCTCAATAGTCCTTAAAAATTACATACGTTCTGCTGTGGAACCCATGCAAAAGATGTGTGCAGCAACCCAGTTTTGCTTACAGAAAAGAAGTGGAAAGAAGAGTATTATCAAGAGTTCAAGTAGGAAAAAAGCATCTTAAATACAATGTTAAAATGGAATCAGGTGCTTAAAAATTGAACCAAAACCAAACTGGTGCTATGCATTCCATATTATTCCAGAAAATGGCTCTTTTTCCTGATGTTTCATTAACTTTTCTGCTTAGCATGAGTCTGCTCCAGTATGGGAAGTAAGGCTTTTGCTGTGCCTAGTCAACACACCTGCTCCCTCCAGCTCGTGCCTACCTCAGGCATAGCATGATGCCAGCTTGCCCAATGTTTGTGGTTACCAGAGGGCTCAGAGCCCAGCAGAGCATCCACCCAGGCTCAGGAGTCGGGCATGGCCTTACCAAGACAGAGCTTTAGCTCTGAGCCCAGCACAGGATGGCGTGAGGAGTGGTCACAGAGAAGCCACTGCAGTGTATGGGGGGCAGGGACACGAGTGGAATAAAGGAACGGGCACTAGTGGGGGCACTGTGAGGAAAACCAGAGTTGAGGCAAGCAGTGCTGAGGGCAGGGGGGCAGGATGGAAGCTGAACAGTGGGCTCCAGCCCTGCCCCAGGCATCCCAGCTTTGGTCGTTCCGTGTGACTAGAGCTCAAAACGAAGCGTGGGTCCTTCACGTCTCCAGAAGCACCGGGAAAGGTCCTAATTTCGTCCCCCAACGCTGCAGAAGAGCGCGAAGCCGCGTCCCCCCTCACGGATCCCGGCCGCAAGGGCAGACCCGCCGGTGAGGAGGGAGCCGGGCGTTCGCTGCCCAACTGGCGGGAGGTGCCGCCCTGCAGGGTAGGCCCGGCCGGGCGGCAGGTGTCGGGGCCCGGGTTGGAGGTAGCCGGCCCTGAAAGGTGCGATTGTCCCCAGCTATTCCTGGTATGCGTCGGGGCGGGAGCCGCTAGGGGCGGCCTCCACAGGGCGGGAGGGCGAGGGGCGCCGCGGCCCGGCGGGGCAGAGGAGCCGCCGCCGCCGCGGGGGGTGTGGGGAGGTGCAGCTCCTCCCGGGCGTCCGGATGCCCCTGGCTCCCTCGGATTCCTGCGGTGGCTGAGCGGCGGCGAGGTCCCGGGAGGGGGAGCTCCGCGGGGAGGAGGCGGAGGGGAAGGAGGAGGAGACGGCGCGGGGAGCGTTAAAAGGAGGCAGCTGAATGACAGCGGCTACTCCCCGCGCCCGCGCCCGCGCCCCCGCCCCGCTAAGCGCCGGCCACTTCATCACTGACCCCCTTTTCACTGCGCTTCCGTGCCCCGCTCGCTGCCCGCCATGGAGGGGAGAGAAGACGCGGAGTGCGACTGCCGGGCGGCGTTCGCCGAGGCTCGGCGATGGGTAGAGGTGAGGCGTCTGTCGGTCCCGTCGGGAGGCATCCCCTGCCCGCGGGTAGCCCCAGTTCCCCCATACTGAGGTCTGGGGTCCCGTCGTGCCCCTGGCATGGGCGGGTTCGGGGGCTGGGACAGGGGCATGCAGACACGGGGCTGCCCCCGTCGTCGGACAGGAGCTGCGGGGACTCGGCTCCCAAAGTTCGCTCCTTTGTCGGCGGCTGCTGCTGGGTGCTATTTTTAGAAGGTATCGTGGAGATCTCTCCCTGCAGTATCGCCGAGGCCCCCCTCCCCAAAATCCAAATTAAAGGCCAGTGTGGCAGCCTTCCTGTCATTAAGGCTTATGATTTCTTGCTATCTTATAAATTACTTCTCCAGCGCTTGCTCTGAGATAGTCTGAATTAAAGTCTGAATCGTCTTCTTCCCGTCTCGAAAGAGTTCGGGCAGAGAGTAACCTGAAATTACAGTCATTTGCTCCTCTCCTATTTTTAAGCATGTCTGACTGCACATAGCCCTTGATGTAAACATCTATGTTTCTCTGTCGTTACGTAGTCACACAGGTGCGGTACGAGCTAATGCATGGGGAAAGAGGTTGCTCCTGGATATATCTGTGAGCCTATGTGTGAGCATAGCCAGGGCAGTGTGTGGCTGGCTGGGTGAGAGATGCCAGTGGCCTCGAAGGCGTTCTGAGGAGCGTTGGAAGTATTGGGCAGCCTCATTTAGTGTCATTTGCTCTTAAAATGCGCTTTAGCCTGCTGGGTTTTATGAATTTTGACACATGAAGCTTATTTCTTTGCACCCATTCACTTGAGATGAAACTTCTCTTCTCAGAAATGCTATCCCAGTAACTTTGAAGGCAGTGAATATTAAGAGAAGGGTGTTTGCTACTTTTTACCCCCTATCTTTGTAAGCTTGTCAATACCCAAGTCTAGGCTTCTTTGTTTCCTCTGTAAAACAATGACATCTAGTGCTTAAAATCCATTGAGAATTCTGAACCGAGAGCACTGTAGGCAAGGGTTATCACAAGTGACTTCCACAAGTGCCAGTTTTTGCAATGCTATCCGTGATTGTGGGTAATTAAAGCAGTCCTGGCTTCCCCAAGTGTCAATTTTGTAAGAGTAGCTGTGAGTTTAGGTAATTAAAGCATTCCCCTCTTGTGTATGCATTTGTTGTATTGCTTTCTTTAAATTGACAAAGACTACTTTAAATAGTTTCATTAAGGTGTTGTAATGTCATCTTTGAAAATCCTATTTTAAGGGTTTGGGGATTTGTTTTAGTTATTTTTCATTTGATGCTGTCTGTTTGTACCATTCCTACAAAAGGTTTCCTCTTTGCCTGACAGTAGCACATGGGAGCCCTAGCAATGCGATGTAAGTGTAATGTGTGCCCTATATGTGTAGGGGGAAAAAAATACACGCTCAGCTTCCCCCCTTCCCCATCTAATTTTTGTGGCTATTCTTTTTCTGACACATGCAAGCTGCTCTCATTTTAAAGTAACTTTTAAACTTACCCCTTGCAGAAATGTTTTATTGTAAATGAAACAACTTTAAAACCTGAAGGTATTGATAAACAGGATGTTAAGAATGCCGTAATGCTGAAGGAAATGTAAATATTTATTTCCTCATGAAATGAGGTTTGTGTTTCAGAGAGCCCACTGTGTTTCTGTACTCTTCAAATCCAGATGGTTGGTCTTGGCTTTTTAATCCACTTTTGTTGTTTGAGAAGAGTAAAGATGCTTTTGGAGTAATGAGACATCTCCCAAGGTTTTGTGAGTCTTGGTGAAACACAGTGGTGTATACATGATTGATGTGAATCCTAATGATTAAGCAATTAGTTTTGAAAAGGATGTAGACTTCCAAATATTTATGAACTTGAAGTTCTTATGTTTTAGTAAGGTTTTGTGTGTCAGTTTCCCCCTAACATTAGAGGAAGATGAAAGCATACAAACACTAGCTACTATGTATTTAAAAGAACAAGCAAAAATCTCCATATAAACTGTTACTAGTTCCCTTTGCTAATGCAGTCTGTTAGCGTCTTTCTGTATTTCAGTACAGAGATTTTGGGGCTCTGAGATTAGAAATCAGGTCTTCTGAGGCTTTTTCAAACCTTGAGGCTGAGGGCCTTTTGTCATGGGAATGAGCAGCTGTATTTGTCAGATCTTGGGGGGGGGGGAGCCCACCCCCAAACATCAAACATTTTCACCTCATTTGTGAAAGCTTTTGTGGAGAGAAAATTGTGTCCTGGTCAGATCTCTCTTCCACTTGTTCCCAGCTGGAGTCTGCATGTTGTATGACTACCACTGGCTGGTGGGAGCTCAGTCATTTGATCCTAGTGCTTATGCTGCAAAAAAGAAAAAAAAAAAACAACCAACCAAAAGAAACCCAAAACAAAAACCAAACTTGATTAAGAGTAACAATAAAAAATTGCATCTGATCTCTGGTGCTAGTTACTGAAAGACTTTGTTCTTTAATTTACATTCATATTGAGGTGCAGTTTATGATAATGCAGGCAAGGCAGGTCTGTAGTCTTCACAGTGCAAAAAACTCTTCAAGTGTGGTCCCCAGCTTCTTGTATTTTCTGTGAACTGGAAGGGGAGATCATATTGCTTGTCCCGATATGGGTTACTCCAGCTGGTTGGTCACCCTGGGAGAACTGGCTATTGAGGACATTTACTTCTTTGGGGGGAAAAGGTAGTTATTTTCTGTAAAAATTCAAGCTCTTCTCATGTGTCCCTTACCCAGAACACAGCACTAGTTAGTGGTGTTGGGTTCTTGCATCTGGGACTTTTGGAGTCTCCTGAGCTCTGCCTGTAACAACTGGTGTTGGTCAAATTCATGAGCAGCTCAGGCTTCTTAGCACCTCGGCTGGGCAGATGGGGCCTGCTGAGACCGGAATAAAACTCTGAAACACCATAACTTGGAAATAGTTTCTCTAAGGTAGAGCTGTGTTTGCCAAAGCTAGAAATAGCTGGGTTAAAATTGTTTTACTGGGTTCTGTTCCATATTATAACTTAAGCAAGCCAAAAGCTGTTCCTCCAAACCAAAGCATTCTTCCCCCAGCTATTAAATATCCCAGACTGCCGAGTCTGTTTTCCTGCTTCAAGATGTGGGAGGGCAGTCTGCCTCTTCCTCTCTTCAGTCCACCACAAAGTTCATCCTTGTGAATGAAGGGGAGACATGGTTCCTCTGCCCCCAAACACCCTTCATAGTTTTAGGGGTGATGCCCCTCTAAGAGTTCAAGAGGCAAGAATAGTGAGTACTTTTTTCCTTGTAAGATGTTTTGGCTTTTGATTCCTGTTCTGTGTCTTAAATGAACCCTAATCTTCAGGTAAATGTCTATGGCTTGAAATTGTTTGCTAAAGAAACTTGAAACCTGACCCACAAAGTCTGTAAATCTTTAGAGTGCCCCGAGGCAAATAATGCTTGAATTACTTATTCCCGCCTCCCCTCCACGCAGTAGTCAAAGGTACAGATCCTGTCTGAGGGGAGGGTGGGCTGTGAGCGTGTGCCTGAATGAATTTTTGGAATGAGCAGCAGAGCTGTAGGAAAGCACATGGAGCAACCTTGACAAATTCACTGAAGTGAGAAGAAGTAGGTGTTTGACCAAGTAACTCTTAATACTGCAAGCTATTACGAGGCCTCTTGGGATCTGAATTTCTTCCCCTTATAACTGATCTAGAGTTGTTAAAGTCAGATGTTCTGAGAGTGACTCATTTAATCTGATACTGTCACTGTGAGTGTTGGTTTAAGAGTCACAAGCAGGACCCTGTAGTCATGGGGCTGTTCCTCACACAGGGATGCTGCAGCAAAGTCTGTTCTGTTTTTTCTCGTGTGAACACTACCCAGTGTTGATGGAGAGGGGTGTTTCACCATTAGGATTTCTGTAGCAAGATAAGGTTTTTTATCATTTTCAGTAGGCAACAATAGAGAGAGAGCCTAGCGTGTCTGGACAGTAACTAAAGATAGCTCTCCTGCTTTTATTTACCATGACCATGAAATAGGTAGTGAAATATCCCAATTTATCTGAATGCTGTTGTGTGTGCTAACAACTTCATTCATTACTGCATTACAGAGTGCTTTTCAGAGCCCAAAGCTACCTTCCTTTGTGATTTAAAAGTATCCATTACATTTTGGATGTTGGAAAGTATTTTTGTTTTTTTTTTTCCAGGAAGGAACAGATGTCTGTGTATAGACACTGGTCCCCTTCACCCCGCTCCATCGCCGGCTCAGAACATTAAAAAAGCAGATTTGCAGAGTGGCTTGGTAGAAAGAGTCAGCTTGAGGATAACACTTGAGAGCCACGACTACTTACCAAAATCTTTTGGTTTGGACCCACAGTATAGCAATCATATCCAGTGAATGGTCTTTGACATGTGGTCACCAAATGTTTCTATTTGTTGAAACTGTTCAAAGTCTGCATTTCTACTGTATATTTTTATGGCTTCTGCAGATGCATCAAGAAGTCTAGCAGTGATGTTTTCCCTGTATTTGCATAGACAACTTACCTCAGTGATTTTGTTTTGTTTTTTTTTCCCCAAGCATGAATCTAATACATACAGTCTGGTGTGGCAGATGGGAGGAATAACTGTAGAGATAGAAAACTCATCTTGCTGTTCAAGTCTTCTTCTCACAGGACCCTTTATTTCAGTTGAACTAATCATTATGAATTTTTTTTTCTCAGTTCTGGGTAAGGAATTCTGGGATAGTGCTCAGAGAGCCAATCAATGTCCTGGGTGGTGTCAGAATGAAAAATGTGTGAATGAAAAGGCAAAAATCTATATATCGTGTTGCCTAAACCATGTCTAATACTGAGTAATTCTGTCAAGTCATAAAACCTGGGTGGGCTGGTTTCTGGAGAACTTCTTACAGCACAGCTGCCAAAGTCCTGGCTTGTGTCTACATAAGGGATTATTTAACCCTTCTTTAGGTGGATGCATCAATATTTCATTATTATGTGTAGATTCTTGGTAGCAAGCTCTTGCATAGAGTAAATCCAAGTATGCCCAATTAATATATA